CTGATAATGCAAAGACTTTAATCATTATTGGCCATTCATATATTAATATATTAATAAAACCCTCCAAGTAAAACTAGGGCTATTCAAAATGGACTACTTTACTTTAAATGTCTTGAAAATATGTAAATAATTTAGTTGGTCTTATTACTATTACCAAAAAATAATATTAATTCAATATAAAAGCAAATGATGCTCATGTGCAGCACTGTATAATTAATACATACCATCAGTGTATAAAATTCGTGTGCACAACCCCCTTAAACCATGCACAATGAGACAAAATTTTTGTGAAGTCTCTTCACAAAAATTTTAAATATAGTGCACAAATTCAATGGGAAATTTTTGCACTATTACATTTTTTATATATATAATGCACAAAAAAAAATCAAAAAAACTAAACTACTTACAATTTGTTGTGCATGCATGCACAATTTTTAAACAACTTTTGCACAAAAATTGATCAGCAAATTTTATACACTGCATACCATGACTCGATCTGACTAGGCATAATAAAAATGTGAATTTTGAAAAAATATTAATATAAATGATCTGCGCGCATATCATTTTAATTGTAGTAGTGGGGAGAAAAAATCATGTTTAAAATTTGACTCGATCTGACTAGGCATAATAAAAATGTGAATTTTGAAAAAATATTAATATAAATGATCTGCGCGCATATCATTTTAATTGTAGTAGTGGGGAGAAAAAATCATGTTTAAAATTTTTTTTAAAAAAAACCCAATTTACTATTGACAATCAATAATGTATTGTCTTGAATAAATCATAATAACAATAAAGTTCTTAATACCTCCTTTAAGTCATCAATTTTTTCTATTATAAACAAAACATCATTATTATCATGATGAAATCAAAGAATACAAAGATGCTTATCAAGATGGGAGATTCAGATTTCCTCCTCCAAAACCTTGTAATAAAACAGCTAGATACCAAGGAATGCTAAAGGTGATCATTGACTATTGATTATTGATTATTGATTATTGATTATTGATTATTGATCAATTATTTATTATTTGATTAATTTATTCTGATCTTCTTATCTCATTTTCATTGTCAACTCCTTTAGGCAAAACATTGAAGACTAAGAAAAAATAGAGAAAGTTAAAAATTAAAGAAAAAATATAGAAAATATTATTTTCATTCCAGGCCTTCAATTTATCAATTCATATATATATATCAAGAACAATATACAACAAGGTTTTCTGAAGAGGATATTTTTTTTTGTAGTGGATTAGAAATGATTGATTCTATAGGACTTACTTGTTCCTCCGGTTAATAATGCTTTATAGTGGAGGCATTCTGCAACAAAACCACAAAATGAACATAACTAACATCATAAAAGAATTTTGGTGATGTTAAGTGACTCAATTCTACAATAATAATGTAATTGTATATCTTTCATAAGATAATTAATCCAGAAATGTAGATTAGGAAAGTATTGGTTATTTTCTTTTGCATCTACCTACTTACCAGAATCTTTTCATTTTGTTGATAATCCTTATTTACTCTCTTAATTTAAATTTACACCTATTTTCTTGTAGATAAAATTTCTTTTCTAAAGGGCACAAGATGCATTTGCTTGACTTCTTCCCCAAAGGAAGTAATCACAAAATTTCTAACTTACTTAATACATTCTTGTAAAAGCTCTCCCATTTCAGCTCAAGCTTCTTCATCTACCTGCTCAATTTCATCTGGGAATGTTTTTTAGACTTAATAATAATGTGCTTTTGGATTAAAGCAACTTTGGATAATAATTAGACCACCTAACACTTTAATAATTTTCGTTAATATTATGTTATAGAACAAGGATGTTCAATCAATGTTGTTATAGATTTATGATATGCCACAACCATTTACTTCACATTTCACTTTAGTTGAATAAGTATTATTAAGAAGTCATTTATAGTAGTTCCAAATATAACTTTTTTTTGTGATCTTTTTTGATTTTTTTAAATTCATTTTTACAACATTGCTATTAATGTTTACAGTATCCTCACACCTTCTGTCAATATTACTATTAATATTTCCTCGTATCCATTGTTATTATAGTCAATGACATAATAAGTGCTGTCGGTCATCAATATCTTCAATAAAATCGAATCTTTATTAGAATCCATAATATAAGACACACTGAAATGATGATAATGTAGTGAATAAAGATGAAGAAACAATCATTGTTATTGTGGTGGTGGAATTTGTGAATGAAGGCACTGATATTAATAATAGCTATATTATATTTCGTCAAATCATAATATATCTTTTTATATGAATATATATTTTACTTTATTATTTTATTTAATCTAATTATTTGATTAATTCTCAGGATCCCAAGCTGCTAATTTTATTGATTCTTTCAATAATCTTTAACATCTCGAATTTCTACTTTATTCGAAAGTCAAAGAATTATGCATTCAAGAAAAATGTCTACCAATTATGGTAGATTTGATTGGTTTTTTTAGAAACGCATTTTTGGACGACGAATCACTTTTTTTTGGGAGAGGATGGACGGTTTTTTATTAGAACTGGAACATTTTTACTGATTCACTCATTATACCAGGGTAGTGAAAGAAAGGCATTACCAATAAAAACGTGATGATAAAGGTCTTCGTCGTCCTGATTGAATAAAACTTTTTATATTGAAATTTTCTATAAATTAACGAATTAACTTATGTTGCATCGAATGAAATAATACTGTACTCTATTATCTTTTCTTTCCAAGCCAAAAATATTCCTTATAACGTGTTACATATAAAAGGTAGTCCTAACTCAAAATCGATCTGGAGGCAATATGCCTTGCTTGAAAGTTCAATGGATTAATATCATCCATAGCAAATCAATACTCAGTCACACGCCACTTTTATTGAGCGAGAATCAATTTGATCAATTGTAATTTAATAATTGTAATAATTAAAAACCATATTACATTTAGAACAGGTTATAATTATTAATCAAACACTACCAAAAGCATAAAAAACCGATATTTCTGACATGAATTCATTATTAGCTTGGAAAGAATTAAAACCTAAACCATTTACAATAAAGCCACTTCAAAGTAATAATCGTGAAGTTTACAATTATTTGTTAGAAAATATGATGATGAATTAGACGGTGGTTATTTATTAGATGTAAAAGATTGGAATTTACGTAACTTTTTATAAATAATAATTAATTTGACGCAAGTTGAAGTTTCTCGAAAAGTCGAAAATTTGTTAGAACCAATCAAATAATAGATCTTTCTTCATTTTCACTAAAGTTAAAAGACGAGAATACTTTTTCCATTTAATATAAAAAAGATGTGACTGTCACAGATCCATGGTAGAATTGATTTCGTGAGAATTCTGCGAGAAAAAAAATAAAAATACGCGTATTTGAATACCATTTACTTGATCAGTATAGATGGGCGTCTAAATTGTTTTTGGGATTGTCTAAAGTCAAAATAGTATTTAGACAAAAATGTCTAAATGTCTAAATTAATTTATATTTTAGACATTGTCTAAATAATTTAGTTTAGACACCCATCTATATTTATCACAGACTTTTGTGGAAAACATATTTAATAAAATAATACAGAGAAACTCATTATTATTGTTGTTATTATTATTATTATTATACATGAAAAAAAATTCTATGTAAATTAATTAAAAAAATAATAAAAATAGTCTTTTTTCATATTATTTTTTGTGTTTAATAGATGAACCAATATTAATGAACTATTTTCATTAAATATCGCTATCACTGGTTAAAATAGAAGATACAGCCATTTTCGAAAATTTTTTTGTTGATCCAGAGGAGATTGAATTACTACTATTATTATTATTATTATTATTATTATTATTATTATTATTACTACTATTATTATTAATGTTAAAAGTATCTATTTTGTTATTATTGTTACTATTATTGTAACCACTAACTTCACTTCTTTCATTTCTTCTTTCAATTTTAACAACACAAGGAGAGGAAGATTTTTCCGACTTTTTTTTTGCTTCAACTAATTTTGCTTTACAAAATTCCATTAGTGAATTATTATTATTATCATCAATAATATTGTAATAAGAATATATTGAATCATTCTTAATCTTTTCTTCTAATGCTTTAATTGATCTGATTGCTTCATTGTTTTCATTATTATTCGATGAAGAAGACGGTGACGATGATATTAGACAATAATAGATATTTGGATTCTCTTTGTATAAATCATGTAGTTCTTTTAATATATCAATGTCTTATATATTAACATATATTATAATATATTTATTTAAATCAAAATGTGATTTCAATAATGATGATGATAATAATAATAATAATAATAATAGAATCGTTAAAATATATTTTTTAAAAAACCATAAAAGAAATAACAAATAAATAATAATAATAATAATAACAATAACAATAACAGTAATAAAAAAAAAAGAAATTAACTTACTGCTAACAAAACCTAATAAATCCGGATATTTATATGTATAATAAAGCTAAATCTTTTTTTTTTCTTTTCAAGTTGAAGAAATTTTATCAGTAATTTTGCATCAAAAAATTATCATACACAAAAACACTTTGCCCTCAGAGTTACAATACCCAAATCAATCATCAAGCACGCCTAATCTATACTCTATTTCACAACAATCTTCATCAAGCTTACAAATCACTTATGATAACTTAAAAACTTGGCTCGAACGTGCTCAAAGCTATTATATTGCAAGTAAAAAATGGCGAAAATTGTTTGAAGTTTCTTTGGGTGTAATGAATAGTTGTGGTTATATAAGATTTGAAAGGTATAATAGTAAGAATGATGATGTTAATATCATTATCATAAGTTGTTTGTAATTTAATAATAATACATATTCTCATATCTATAGTTCTCCCCAGATTACGATAATAGATCTGTTTGAAGAACAACTTAAACTACCTGAGAAACTGTTTAAATTACTTAACGAGAAACAATATTCTGTTTATAATAATAAAGGATTTATAGAAGGTGTAAGGACTACCTTTCCTTTTGCAATATCAATTGGAATAGCATGTTTTGTATATTGCTGTCATCAATTCTATGAATTGGTAGCTGGTTCCAAAGCCATCACGACTAATGATGGTACAGGTATGTTTACGATTGCATATATAAACAACGTCTATAATAATTGTTTATTAATTATTGTTTAATTAAGGTAAAAGAGATTGTTTAATACCAATATATCCTATTACTATGATACAATCTTCTTCTACGTCATCATCTTTATGTGTTCACAATCCACCTATAAATGAAATGTCTGATCAACAGCACACCGACAAAAAAAGAAGAACTGACTTTATAATATCTGAAGAAACTGACAAAAACAACAACAATAATAACGAAAAAAGCAATGTCAATAACAATCCTTTAAATCCTGATGACGACAAAGAGGCCACAGCAGCAAATAACTCTAGGAGCACTAATATAATGAATGTTAAGAACTTGTTGATTAATGATGATGATTATAATAATAAAACTGATAGGAGCAAATCTCTATCGAAAAATTGTCAAACCAAAAATGATGAAATTTCAATGAAATCAGACAAATTAAAAGATACTACTGATCGTGATAGAGGTGTCATTTAATTATTCCTATTTAATTATATCAAAGTAGATTTATATACCAATAGACATGTATATATAATACAACTTTCTAACATCAATTAATACTTTTTTTTCATAGAATCATTATCATCACTAAATGATGAAGCCATGTTATTATTAAAACGTTCTTTGGATTGTTGGAAATTGTTAAAGCAGTTGATCACAAATGGAGACGTCTCAAAAAGCAAAACAGTAGATCACGGTAACAAAACAATCATGATCACCCTTAATAAATCATAAATATTTATTTTACTAAATAAATATCTCAATTGTTGATAAAATACAGAGATAGATCTATTTACCAGATCTTGGTGTTTGCCTTTAGATGTTGTAAATGCTTTGATGTTAACTCGTGCTGATATTGCCCTTTTATTAGGAAACTTGGACACTGCATATAGAATTTATCATGATATGTGTGGTCAATTTTCTGGTGCTTGGGATGCTCATCGTAATCGAAAATTAAATAAAAAAGGACGTTATTATACCTCACCATCGTCATATTCACCGTCACATTCACCCTCATCTTTCTCATCCTCATCTTCTACACCATCTCCTACATCATCGCTATCACCAAAACCGCCAGTTACTACCATTACCACTC